ATATATATATATATATATATATATATATATATATATATATATATATATATACAGTATATGATTTAGTCCCACCTTTAATTGATTGTCCTTCTAACGAGCTGCTTTATGATCGGACTGGGTTCCTCAAACACTTTCAAATGCAGCTTCAGAGTATCAGGGCACATGTGGTGTTAGAAGTACATGTGCAGGTCTATGCAAATGTGAACATTAGGGAGCTGCGATTCTGTAGAAAGAGGGTCATGTGCCTTACAATGACTCTGAATCTCAGAGACCACCCTCACTCTTTACCCCTTTAACCAACCCTCCAAATTCCACCCATTCACACCCCTCCCCCCTTCCTTCTGTGCTTATCACCTCATTATTCACTCTGCTGTCTGATTGGCCTGTAAAAGCTAAGCAGACCTGAGGCCACACCCAGACACAAATTGGAAAGTCTGGAAGGCACAGCAAGGGTGAGACTTTCTGCTGGATTTCCCTCTATTTCTATTTGATGAATGTTTTTGATTGCCAGTTTACAAACCTAAAGTAAAGAAACCCACCGCCTATCTCAGGTGTCGAGCATCAAGCTTTTGTGAACCTAAAGTCTGTAATTTAAAAAATTTTTTAACATCAAGTGTGGTCATCCATATGAATTTAAGACCCCATGAAATGCAGCAGGTTTCTTTCCTATTTTGGTCTTTTTGGTTGCAAGATAAAGACTACATTTTATGTGTGCTAAAGAGTATGTTAATATATTGATATAACACATTACATTTTTTGTCCATTTTAAACCATTTTGATTTCATGGGGCCTTTTTTTATGAATAATTGGTACAGCTTGGGTTGAAATCAAAATATCTCCCGTTTGCAAATGCAGATTTTGTATGAATCACATCATAATATTACCGTTAGTTACAGATGCATTCAACATAAGGCAATAAAGCTATTGTAACTTCTGTAATAAACAAAAAATTGCATAAATGTCCTTGAGGGCAAAGACAATAAACTAGATCCTAAATCCATGCCTGAATGAATCCCGATTACAGTTTAGCTCCACATGGTTCATATTCCCTCGGTGTCATTCAGTCTGGCTTTCTTCCCTCTTTCACTCTCTTTATTTCTGCAGACCTCTTCCCGTCTCTCCGTCCGACCCTCCAGTTCTGAAACCCCCAGTGCTGCAGAGTTAGTCAGTGCCATTGAGGAGCTGGTCAAAAGCAAAATGGTAAGAAGTGCACAGAATGATCCCCAAATCCAGGTGTGAAAAACTTGTTGCGTCTTTCCCAAAAAGACTCATGGCTGTATTCGATCAAAAGGGTGCTTCTACTAAATACTGAGCAAAGGGTCTGAATATTTAGGACCATGTGATATTTCAGTTTTTCTTTTTTAATAAATCTGCAAAAATGTCAACAATTCTGTGTTTTTCTGTCAATATGGGGTGCTGTGTGTACATTAATGAGGAAAAAAAATTAACTTAAATGATTTTAGCAAATGGCTGCAATATAACAAAGAGTGAAAAATTTAAGGGGGTCTGAATAGTTTCCGTACCCACTGTATATATATATATATATAATTTAATGCTACAATATAGCCATCATATTATTTGGCTGGACTGATTTCTCATGTCCGCACAGGCTCTGGAGGACAGACCCAGCTCTTTGTCTGTGGAGCAAGGGGACAGCAGCAGCCCCTCTTTCAACCCATCTGATAACTCCCTCCTCTCTTCCTCCTCTCCGATCGATGAGATAGAGGAACGCAAGACTGGCTTCCTCAAGAGACGGCAGTATGTCATCATGCTCTTCTCTCTCTCTCTGTTATTGTCCTCATTGATTGTCAGTGTCTATAACAGGTGTCCCCTTTCCTCTTTTTAGTTACGTACTGCTGGAACTAATCGAGACAGAGAGGGACTATGTGAGAGATCTCAGTTTGGTCGTGGAGGTAAATGAATACTGTTCACGGGATGCTGAGATACAGGGAGTGATCATGTGGCTAGATCTGAAGTGCATACTTGTCTTGTGTGTCTGGTAGGGCTACATGACCAGGATGAGGGAGGATGGAGTTCCAGATGATATGAAAGGAAAAGACAAAATCGTTTTTGGAAACATTCAGCAGATATACGACTGGCACAAAGAGTAAGTATCTAGTTTGTGATGTATTATATTTTCACTTATTTTTAAATGATGTAAATGATGGACATTGATGGGGGGAAAATCAGCAATTTTATGGCAGTTCATTTTCAGCAGATTTATTACAGATTTTGAAGAGATTTTTTAATCCTTAATGTTTCAGTTTCTTCCTGGGAGAGTTTGAGAAGTGCCTTGAGGATCCTGACTGGCTGGGCCCTCTCTTCATCAAACATGTAACATTTTAAAGCTTTTTTTAGGCAACCAAACAAACTTTTTTTTCTGTAATATGATATTGTACATACTCATGAACTCATCATGCCTTTCAGGAGAGGAGACTGCACATGTACATTGTTTACTGCCAGAACAAACCTAAATCTGAGCTTATTGTCTCAGAGTATATCGACACCTATTTTGAGGTGCGTAACTGAAGTCTTTAGACTGATTTGAACATAATTTCTGCCCATTATAGAGCTTGCATTTCCTTATGAAAAATATTTTGCATTTATGTCAGTAAACCATCAAATAGAAATCACATAGAACGTAATGAAACATTTATAATGTGATATTGAATAAATGCATTATATATAAGCATCAAGATCTGTTTTTGACCCTCTCTTGCAGGATCTGAAGCAGTGTCTGGGTCACAGGCTTCAGATCACTGATCTGCTCATTAAACCCGTGCAGAGAATCATGAAGTACCAGCTGCTGCTTAAGGTTTGTCCATCTGGTCCAGTGCATCTCATTGTTTTAGCCCTATTGACAGAGTTGATTCTGATGTCTCTGTTTTGGTTTATTTATTTCCAGGATTTCCTGAAATTTTCCAAAAAAGTTGGAATTGATTCAGTAGAATTGGAGGTTAGTTTTTTCTATGCTATATACTACAATTCAAAAGTTTAGGATCAATAAGGTGTTTTAAATGTTTTTGTCCTATTGTAATTTGATAAAAAAATGTTGTAAACAATATTGTAAAATATTATTGCAATTTAAAGCGTAATTTATTCCTGTGAATACAAAGCTGAATTTTCAGTGGCCATTACTCCAGTCTTCAGTTACATTATCCTTCAGAAATCATTCTAATATGCAGATTTGCAGCTCAAGAAATATTTCTTATTATTATCGATGTTGAAAACAGTTTTAGTAGTTTTAATAACAGCTTAATATTTTGTTCTTAGATGAGTAGTAGAAGTATAAATATTTATTTTGTAACATAATAAATATCTTTACTGTCACTTTAGATCAAGTTAATGTGTCCTTGTCAAATAAATGTATAAATACATTTATATTAAAAAAAAAACCTTTTCAACCCAAACTTCTGTTTGTTTATATATGTATGAGCAATATGCATATGTATATTTATATATTGATTGGTTGCGTCATATGTACTTATACTGATGAAGTTATTGATGTGTTGTAGAAAGCGGTTGAGGTCATGTGCATTGTACCAAAAAGATGCAACGACATGATGAATGTTGGTCGACTCCAGGGATTTGATGTAAGATTGCTGTGACCTTTTTTTATCAGTAGATTATTATCAAGAATAATTGTAGTCTTTTACATGTGAATTAATTCATTTGATCAGTCGCTCTGTCCTTCACAGGGAAAGATCATTGCTCAGGGGCGTCTCCTCCTGCAGGACACCTTCATGGTGGCTGAACCGGATGGTGGCCTGCTGAACAGAATGAAAGAGAGAAGAGTCTTCCTCTTTGAGCAGATTGTCATCTTCAGTGAACCTTTAGATAAAAAGAGGGGCTTCTCGATGCCTGGTTACCTGTACAAATACAGCATCAAGGTACAGGCATCCTCGTCTGACAGTTTCATGGTTTCTAATTTTATCGTGCCAGATTCGGTGATAAATATAAAATTGTATAAAGAAGATCAAAACATTCTGTTTGTGTGTGTATAGGTGAGCTGTCTGGGTCTTGAGGATAGTGTGGATGGAGACCCATGTAAATTCGCACTGACCTCTAGAACGTCCAATGTCAGCAAAGAGGTCTTTATTCTGCACTCAAACCACCCCGGAGTCCGACAAGTCTGGATACTGCAGATCAGCCAAATCCTGGAGAGCCAACACAATTTCCTCAATGGTACAGCAACCAGCAATACTTTTAAGCATATATAAGTCTTTAAATCATCTAGAAATCATCTTGAAGTAATAAAGTGTTATATTCATGTCAAGTTCATGAAGTCTAATGCATTAGCTAATGCTAATGAATTGATCCCCATTGTAAAGTTTTCGCTTGCAATATCGTTAGGTTGGTTTTGCAAGTCTTTTCTTGCCTGTTACACCCTCATAAAATTGGGATAATCTGAGCTGTTATGCTCATGTGCAAATTCATTGTCCTCACTAGATGTCTTTCCTCCTGTAGTGCTTACATCTCCTATAGACTACCAGAGGAACCATGTCGAGGGGCCTGGTGTCTCAGGCAGCATACAGGCTGGAGGTAGCGGGGGTCAGGTCATGGTCCCTGGAGGAGGCGGAGGGGCCCCGGCTGGGTCGGGTTCCCGCTCCCGCCCCTCCCGTATCCCCCAGCCCTCACGCTTGCCTCAGCCGCTCCGTCATCACTCTCCCGCCCTGGGGCCCGGAGCCCACGAGCCTGACGGCCCCGACAAAATATCAGGTATGTCCCCGAGACCTCTCCCCAGGGGTCCCTCACCCTCTTGCACCACAGAGCCCGATCCAAAGGTGAAGGTTCCTGCGAGCCCTCACCCCAAACAGACAGACTCTGCAGAAAGCGCTTCCAAAGAGAGCAGGGATGGAGTCGGCACGGCCCAGATCCCTCGGGCCACCGTGGCCCCGCTAGGACTGGTCAAACCCAGACCTGGAACGGTCTCGCCCATGGCCTCCCCATTAGCCACACCTGCTTTCAAAGACTCCATCCCACCCTGCAGTCCTGGGCCAAAGACAGGTGGCAGCTCCACCTCGTTCTGGAGCTCCGTTCCTGCTTCCCCCGCCAGTAGGCCTGGTTCCTTTACTTTCCCTGGGGAAGCATGTGACACACTGGGACGGCAAAACCAGAACCAAAGTCAACGGCATTCCACCCACAGTAAGGACGCAGACCGAATGAGTACCTGCTCTTCTGCCAGTGAGCAATCTGTCCAGTCCACTCAGAGCAACGGGGTAAGAGACACACTCCTGCCCCGGTCGACCGCAGTGCTTCAGCTCAACTCTGCTCCTGTCTTCCCTCATGAATGACTCTCTAACCCACCTGGATTCTGTCTGATTTCTGCCTCTCCTAACCTGGTTTCTACTCTGTGGACTTCCAACAGATCCTTTGCTCTGCATCTCAGAATTCTAACACAGTTCTGCTTCTGGCCAGATACTAACTGTTTATGGAGTTGTAAAACAAGAACCAGGTTTTCCCTTCCTAAAAAAGAAGCTCTTAACTTCAAGCTTTCTTTGTGGTGTGTACAAGACAATCAGCTTTTCCTAAAGACTGAAAGTATGGTCACGTTTACTGTTGTTTTCTGAATATTCGTGGGTGAAATACAGTAATTTCAATAGGAATCACCACGAGCGGGAATTTTGCATCAGGGTGAAAGATTTCTGGACACAGATTTCTTAAAAGGATAGTACTACACCCTCATGTCATTCCAAACCTGCAAGACCTTCGTTCATCTTCGGAACACAAATTAAGATATTTTTGATGAAATCTGAGTTTTCTGACCCTCCATAGACAGCAACGCAACTTCCACCACATTCAAGGCTCAGAAAGGTAGTAAGTACATCGTTAAAATAGTCCATGTAATATCAGTGCTTCAACCGTAATGTTATGAAGCTACGAGAATACTTCTGTGTGCAAAGTAAACTAAAATAATGATTTTATTCAACAATTCTACTCTTCCATGTCAGTTTTTGACGCACATTCATGAGTGTACCACGACACATGCGCAGCACATCCGGGGTTCTATGTCAGAACGCACGTCGAAGACTGACTTGGAAGAGAAGAATTTGTTGAATGAAGTCGTTATTTTTTGTTTTCTTTGTGCACAAAAATTATTCTCTTAGCTTCATAAAATTAAGGTTGAACCATTGATGGCACAATGTAACAATGTCCTTTCTACCTTTCTGGGCCTTGAAAAATGGAGGGTCAGAAAGCTCTCGGATTTCATCAAAAATATCTTAATTTGTGTTCTGAAGATGAACGAAGGTCTTGCGAGTAATTAATTGCAGAATTTTCATTTTTGGGCGAACTATCCCTTAAATGGCTCAGATTAGTCACATGGATTTGCTACATTGACCACAGAAAGCTGTGTGAGCTTTGCTTCATAAATCGATTCACTACACTATTGACAATAGACACTGGGCTTTTTTTTGTCCACAAAATTTTGCTAATGTGACTGCATCTTAACACTGTTATTCTTACAAATCTAATGCAAGAAACATCTGTGGATGTTTTGATTCTGCCTACCATGTGACCTGCTTCCGAATTTTAGATCTTTTTAACAGGCTACTGTAACTAACATGGGTTCTTGTCTCACTTTCTTTTCTGTTTCTTATCTTTTCTTTGACTATTCTTGTTTAAAAATGCATGTTTTCAATGCAGTGCACTTGCAGAGTTAATCAAAAGCTGTCAATCAAAAGTTGTGAATATTATTGAGCATGGGAGTTATTATGGAATGTTTTGTCATCTAATACCAAAAATGAAATCCAAAACATACATTTATGATGAATATACTAGCCCTCATGTTCTGTTTGGGGTCTGAGAGACCTCAAGGCTCTATTTTGTTACAATTGAAGCATCAAGCTCAAATGTTTCCTAATATAATGAAGACTGATTTCAACTTGATAAAATACTTCAAATGTCCTCCATAACAAATATTGCAATATTTCTATGGGAGAGACCCAAAAACATATAAACATTTATTAAACAATTATTTAAATTAAAGATAAAAATAAGAATTTCCACATCATAATTTTCTGATTGTTTACTTTTACAATAAATTATTATTTATTTATTTATTTTTTACTGTATGTTTCTATGGTCAAATTAACCATAAACAGAAACAACATTGTTACCAAAAATAATTACCTTTATTTAAAAATAATAATGCTTACATCAATAACACTTAAATATACTGGGTTTTGGGTAGGTCACCGGAACATATTGCAAGAACTTTTAAGAGGACAAAAGAAGCAATTTTCTAACTTTTTAAAAACACATTTAAACAGAACATGAGGGTTAATAAGTAAATGTGGAAATACTGTCATTTACCCCCAGGAAAACCTACAGTGTTGTACACTACAGGTATTTGTGTTAAAGGTATAAGGTCTCTCCGATACTAAGACCTGTATGTGTGTCTGTTTGTCCACAGAGTGAAAGCAGTAGCAGCAGTAATATCTCCACCATGTTGGTGACTCAGGACTATGTGGCTCTGAAAGAGGATGAGATAAATGTAGGTCAAGGGGAGGTGGTGCAGATCCTGGCCTCCAATCAGCAGAACATGTTCTTGGTGTTTCGCGCCGCTACCGACCAATGCCCAGCCGCCGAGGGCTGGATCCCTGGATACGTGCTGGGCCACACCTCCGCTATTATCCCTGATGTACCAGAGGGGACCATTAAGTAAGAACTCGCTTCTAACCATTTACATAGCACATTCTGCAATAAAATCAAACCTAGTTTTGTTATAGGCCTTTAGTGGTTATCATCTGTTGGATATTTAACATGTTTTTTAACATAATGGGTTACTTTCCAGCAGGAAATCATCATTAGGTCAAGGGGAGGTGGTGCAGATCCTGGCCTCCAATCAGCAGAACATGTTCTTGGTGTTTCGCGCCGCTACCGACCAATGCCCAGCCGCCGAGGGCTGGATCCCTGGATACGTGCTGGGCCACACCTCCGCTATTATCCCTGATGTACCAGAGGGGACCATTAAGTAAGAACTCGCTTCTAACCATTTACATAACACATTCTGCAATAAAATCAAACCTAGTTTTGTTATAGGCCTTTAGTGGTTATCATCTGTTGGATATTTAACATGTTTTTTAACATAATGGGTTACTTTCCAGCAGGAAATCATCATCGTGGCATACATCCCTCCGTATCCGTAAGAAGTCAGAGAAAAGAGAGAAGGAAAATAAAAAAGAGGCCAAGCTTGAAAATGGATACAGGAAATCCAGAGAGGGACTAACCAACAAGGTCTCTGTAAAGGTAACACTAATGAAAACACAAACAAATCCGTCTCTAAAGTTATTTTCTAGAAAAATTCCTCCGAAAAAATTTAACTGTAAAAATGTTTGTTTTCCATTTTGCAGCTTCTAAATCCCAATTATATCTATGATGGTAAGTTCAAAATATTAAGTGCATCATTCTGTTTGTTTAGAATTATAAAAAAAAGTCAAACATAATAAGGGGTTGACGTGGATCTTTTTTCCTCCAGTTCCCCCGGAGATCCTCGTCCCGCTGAGTGATGTGACCTGTGATAAAGGGGAGTGTGTCACTCTGAGGTGTAAAGTGTGTGGCCGCCCCAAAGCCACAGTCACATGGAAGGGACCCGATCAGAAAACACTCACCAACAATGGCCACTTTAGCATAGTCTACAGGTGCTGACAAGCAGACAAAAATAATTTGAGGGAAAAAAAGAAATGTTTTTCAGTTTTGGTGATATCTGTACAGTATATAACATTATTATTTTGTTAATATGCGTTTATTTACTGCTTTATTTTAAGGACCTCATAAATAGTTATTTGATTAATTTTAATTAGATCTTATTCGATTTTTTTGTAGTTATTAAACTCCGTTTTTGCTAATGTAATGGTTTTGTTTTCTGCATAAATCATGATTTCTTTCCGCTGCATCGCAGTGAGACTGGCGAGGCCACTCTGCGTATCGTAGGTGTGACCTCAGAGGATGATGGCATGTACACCTGCATTGCAACGAATGACATAGGCAGTGTGACATCATCAGCCAGTCTCAGAGTGTTGGGTAAGAATGTGTTCTCATTCAAACAGTCCACCTGGTGTTTCAAAGATTTATTTGTGCAAGGCTATGAACTTAACTGGACTGCCTTTCACAGGAACTACTAGCGATGGAATCCGGGTCATGTGGAAAGACAACTTTGAGTCCTTCTACACTGAGGTAGCAGAGCTGGGCAGGTGAGACACATGGGAATTAATACACTCATATGGATTCCCCTATAAAAACCAGGGCAACATTGCAGTTGTGTTAATGTTGCTTCTGTCTCTTAGGGGAAGGTTCTCTGTAGTAAAACGCTGTGACCAGAGGGGATCAAAGCGCACAGTAGCGGTCAAGTTTGTGAATAAGAAACTCATGAAGCGAGACCAGGTCACCCACGAGTTCAGCGTCCTACAGAGACTCCAGCACCCTCACCTAGTCAGACTACTGGACACCTTTGAGACCTCCAGCAGCTATGCACTGGTCCTTGAGATGTGAGAGCTCACAAACACACATACACACACTTTAATATCAGAATGGACTGTGTCACACTCAGATATGTTTGTGACCCTGTGTATTGTGTGATTGTCTATGGAGGGTCAGAGAGCTCTCACATTTCATCAAAAATATCTTAATTTGTGTATCGAACATGAACGAAGGTCTTAGGGGTTTGGAACGACATGAGGGTGAGTAATTAATGACAGAATTTTTATTTTTGGGTGAACTGTCCATTTAAGAACCGTGAGATCTGGTGGACCGAAAATCAGCTCATTTATTCAAGGCTTCCCTACAAGAGTTCTAGAACTGGTCATTCAGACAACCTTCAGACTAGTTTATTTAAAAAAATCTTTCTTTGCACAATCCTACTTACAAAGTGATGCTAATTTCCACTTTCTGATCAGCCTGAAAACCTTGTGGTGGAGCAGAGCCCCTCCCAGCCGATGGTGAAACTGACGGACTTTGGCGATGCAGTGCAGCTGAACTCGACTCCCTACGTTCACCCTCTGCTGGGCAGCCCAGAGTTTGCTGCCCCCGAGCTGGTTCTCGGGGATCCCGTCTCTCTCTCCTCTGACTTATGGAGTCTGGGCGTGGTGACGTACGTGATGCTGAGCGGGGCGTCTCCGTTCTTGGACGAGAGCGTGGAGGAGACGTGCCTCAACATCTGCCGCCTAGACTTCAGTTTCCCCGACGACTACTTTCAGGGCGTGAGCCAGGCGGCACGGGATTTCGTGTGCCTGCTTCTCAGGACCGAATCTTCCAAGCGGCCCCCAGCTGCCACCTGCCTGCAGGATCCCTGGCTGAGACACGGCGGTGGCCGTCGCTCGGCCGAATGCATCGATACCTCTAGACTCATCTCCTTCATCGATCGGCGCAAACACCAGAACGACCTGCGGCCTCTCGGAGGCATAAGAGTCTTCCTGCAAAGCAGGCTACAGCCCAGGATCTGACCCGAGAAACGTGATCTCATCCTCTTCCTGATGCCAATTAAGAAGACTTCAGTCCTGAGCCTATCAAAATGTGTGCTGACAACCATATCTGCCAATCAGAGCCTTCGTCGGCAGACAAGATTTTAGATTGTTAGTCCTTTCCCAGTTTGCTGCTGCCTTGTTTCCAATTTCATGAAGGCTTTTACGCAGAGATGAAAACAATGGAATATATATATAATATTTCTCTGATTTGCTGAATGATCAACAAATCTACATAAATAGACTAATATTTTGTGTAGAACAAAACGTGGCAGAAGTTTTTAAGAGAGCGATGCAAATTCAGCAGCATTGAATGTCTAATTTTAGTTCTGATCTCATTGTATTTTAATGTATGTATTATCATTTTAGACTTGTTTTATTTGGATTATTTTATACTTTTTGCATGTGTGTATTTCTTTGTACAGAAACCATAAGTGTTTTTGCGATATGTGCTGTAAATATTTTCAGTTTTGTCATCAGTTATTTTGAAATTAAACATAATGGAACATTCTCATGGCTGCTGTGCTTTATTCTGTTTTGGTTCAAATTTTTAAGATGTGAGGGACTTCCTGATTGAAAACAATGCCGATTTGTAAACACTATTTGAAGATTTGGGTTGGGCACCAAGAACTGTTTTCATTTATTATTGCTTTCATCAAAAAATAATAATAAATAAAATAATAAATAACAATTACTGGAACATTCAGTTCCATTATTGTTTCTTAAAGTCAATGGAAAGCCAAACTGTTCCCTGAACTCCTATTCACAACAACAGCGATACTGAATTTACAGCATGAACCATACAGTGTTGTCTGATACCAAAAAGAATGTCTCTTATTCTTCATAGTGCATCAACAAACGCGTTAATGACTCCCGTTAGCTGGGTGTTTTAGCGAAACACTGAAGTATGGTAATGTATGGCTATCACGTAATACTTATACTAAGTACACACAAGTAACCATTCATAAAATGTAATTATTTTGTGTGAAACTAAACAAATCAAACATAATGAGATTTAACTTAGTAGTAAATAAATAATTGAACTGCATCCTTTTAATAACTTATATTTCGAAATTTAAAGGCACAATATGTATTAAAACACACAACATATTAAAGCGTCTTTGGTGTTTCCATGTTTTCTACAAAACAAAACCGGAAATCGAGGGGTTATGACATCATTGGCAGGCCACACAATGACACTACACTCTTAAAAATAAAGGTGCTTCAAAAGGTTCTTCAAGCGATGCCATAGAAGAACCATTTTTGGTTCCACAAAGAACCATTCAGTCAAAAGTTCTTTAAAGAACAATCTCTTTCTTACCTTTTTATAATCTGAAGAACCTTCTTTCGCCACAAAGAACCTTTTGTGAAACAGAAAGGTTCTTTATGGAACCATTTAGAAAAAAAGGTTCTTCTATGGCATCGTGAAGCACCTTTATTTTTAAGAGTGTTAAAATTGCTTATTTCTCTGGATTTAAACACTCTTCGAAACATTTGGGATAATGTAAGTACACAAGTCAGCAAAATATATAACACTGTTCAAGTGGTTTTTGGATATTTTAATTAAAAAATCTTACATATTGACATTCAAGATGTCCAAATGTGTAGCGCTTATGCTAAGCTATCTGGCTTACTAGCATAAGCTCTAAGCTTAAACTAAAATATTAAAGTAGATCACTTCCAGAATTAAAATTTACTCACCCCCCATGTCATCCAAGATGTTCATTTCTTTCTTCAGTCGAAAAGAAATTAAGGTTTTTGAGGAAAACATTCCTGGATTTTCCTCCATATAGTGGACTTCAATGGTGGCCAACGGTTTGAAAGTCCAAATTGCAGTTTCAATGCCGCTTCAAAAGGCTCTACAAAATCCCAGCCAAGGAATAAAGGTCTTATCTAGCGGAACGATCGGTCATTTTCAAAGAAAAATACACATTTATATACTTTTTAACCATTATATGAAGAAAATTCCTGGAATGTTTTCCTCAAAAACCTTTCTTTGTGACTGAAGAAAGAACATCTTGGATGACATGGAGTGAGTACATTTTCATTATGGAAGTGAGCTATAATATTAAGTCACAAATGGTCATTATATAACAGTTCAAATGACTATCAGGCCATGAAGAGTGCAAGTTATTTGAGCCAGTGGGGTCCAGACCGGATTTTGAGGGAGAGTCCGATTTCTCATGATACTGTGATCTGATTCTCGAACAAATGACTCTTCCAGTTATTTTTAGTAAATATAAAATACTAGAAATCAGTCACAACAACCTGTATAAACAATTTTTGTAAAAATTGTTTTAAATTTGATTTATGATCATTTGTAATCTTGCTGAGAGCAGTGAAAGTGTATTTTCCGCCAAATAACTCTCCAAAAGAATTGCTAATAAAACCTGAATCATTGAGAAATCGAAATCTCCTCACATGATGCCATGTCTAACTTGTAAGAATATTTTATGCTATTATGGAGATGAAACCAGTGGCTTGTGTTGCACTGAAGGTGAATGTGGATTTAAAGGTGGGTTGAAACAGCTTTTATAATACAAAACATTAATGTGTAGGGGAGAAAAACAGGTGCGAGTATAAAGAAGTGGGCTGTAGGACTTTTATTGCGTCGTATAGGTGAACACTACAGTGGTTTGCATTGTGTACAGACAATACGAGGAACAACATAGTGACATTGCACAGTAGTAACCAGCGATTTACAGACTTTGTTCTTAAATAACAGTATTAATTCATAATTACAGAACTAAAGAATGTCTAAATGAGAACGATCCAGCTTGGGCTCAAATCAGTGTACAACATGAACCGTAATGTAAAATCTAGCAATATTAAGACACTGAATATTCATGACATAAGCCCATATGCTAGACTTATCTGGCTGCATAGAACTGCTTTATCTTAATAAAAACTTCTTGCATGACTAATAGAGAACACATTTCACCGAATGCTAATGGACCGGTGGGCAGAATATAGCATCTGTTGCTGAATTTATACTGAAAGACCCCCTGTCTTCCTGTCTGTGAGTGTCATAAGGCTTTTGAATTAGTCATGTGACCATAATAACGACATTATCAAAGTCAGCAGATGGGATTGCTTGGAGCTCTGGTGCATGCACGATATTATAGTTTGCGATGTTTTTTGCCCTTGCAGCAATAGCTGTCTCACGCTTATTAAAGCACAATAATCTCCATATACGTGTAGATGGATATTTGAGAAGCAAACATGCCCTATGATGTCTTGTAATATTGTGGTTTTGCCTGATTTATATAGCAAGACAGTAGTAATTCAGCACTGAAACCAAACCCATGTGCACTTTCGCCCCACTTCCAAAATCTCTTTTTATGTAAATGAATAACAAATTATTTTTTTAAATACTAATGGTAATAGTATAGTAATCAATTAAATAACTCAACAAAACAGACACAAGAACAAAAAAAAAAGGTTTATGTCAATCTTTGTGTACAATCTTATTAGTTCACAGAGTACAATAGCTTAAGACTTGAGCAGATTTTGTTCTTACACGGAATCTGTGGTATTTATATATTCCAGCGCAATATAGCCAACACACTACAACAGTTTCAACCAAAGGTTCTGATGATAAACAGTTGTCTTTGCCTTTGTATAGCCCTTAAGGCCACCATTTAAACTCCAGGTTGACCAAACCACTTCCAGACTTTAAATTCTTATAGATTTTAAAGGGTCATTTAAAATTGCAGTAACTGATGTCCATTTTTTTGGTCTCATAGCATGAAAAAACTTTTTGGTTTGCTTCCTGTTATATGCTAAAATGAGAGTGAATAGCAGTGCCTGTATCTGTACAGTCATCCTTTAAATTTGTTTAACAGCCAACCTAACAGAATCTGACTTTGAAACAAAGACTGGAGTGGGTTAAAATGCTTTAAAGCCATTTTAAACAACCTTAACCTCAATGGAATGCAGAGAATTGTCATAAATCTAATCTAGGCTATTTCTGGAATAAATTATTGGTCCTAAAACCTTCTTCCGCCATCCTGGTGTTCCTCCATCCCTCTATCCTTTTAGCAGAACGTATGGAGTGCTGTCTGACTGTCTGCCTTGGTGTGTAACAATTCCCAAACATAGGAAAAAATACAAAACAAAAGACACATCCTAATATATCACTATATTAGACATTTGAGACTATTACATTGTGATGCCGAGCGCATGTGTGCCTGTGAAGTGTGTCTTTGGAGTACTGAGTCCTGTGGCTGTGGCTGTTATTTGCGGTCCAGTCAGGGAGTGTAACAAGCCGGTTTCCACCAATAAGACGATATAGGCCGTGTACACAAACTGGAGTTTTACCTTCATCCAAACCAAAACTCCAGTGGAGACATGTATTTGGACAGAGGGGGGCAGTGGACACCACTTTTTATGCACATGGTGTGAAGAGATATTCAGAAGGCACTGGGGTTTGGTGGAAATCAGACTCTAACAAACCTGCAAAAGACCTGATTGACTTTTAAATCATACAGTGAGGCGTACACTGCAGATCTCTACTTGCGGCGTCCGTGATGGTTGTGCATGTCTTCCATGGTGACTCTGCCCCACACGCCGATCACAAACGCCTCAATCTCGCACTCATTTACACCACGAGCAATTCGGAAGTAACCATCCTCGCCCCAGTTCTTGCCCCATGAGTTGGCTGCGATCTGTGGAGTGAAGGAGAGATTGTTTAAAATGTGTAAAAATGTGCAAAAGCTCCTGTTGAAGAGAAAAGATGGATATAATTTCTCACCCAGTATTTGTGTGTTCTGCCGTTGTAATCTCTTTCCTCTCCCCATCTGCAAATGTGTAACAAAAATCAATATGCTATTGTGCATTCACCAGACATTAGTATTCAAAGCAGCTCTCTAAGAATAGGCTCTAAAATCAATGCCATCATTGATCAGATTTTATGAAAAAAATAAATAATTAAAAGAATGGAAAAGAAAAGGTGTACACATCCAACTCAAGTTGAGTAGGGCTACAGATGCAGGACATTAAAAAAAAATCAATATATAATATAATATCATTTTTGTTCATTTCTTTATTGAAAATAGTTGTGATTTTTTTGGATAATTTAGATTTATGTTTAGTTAAATTAAGAAAAATAATATAATATAATATAATATCTTTATATTTTACTTGAAGACAAGGTAAAAATATTCATTAAACAGTGAGGAATATTCACACTTTCAGTCAAAATGTCTGATTTAATTACAAAATGTTGGTCTTTTTTATAATATAATATAATGTTTATTTATTTATTGAAAATAGTTGTGATTTTTTTGGGGTAATTTAGATTTATGCTTAGTTAAATTAAGAAATATAATATAATATATTTTACTTGAAGACAAGGTAAAAATATTCATTAAACAGTGAGGAATATTCACACTTACAATAATTACAATATACTGGTCTTTTTATAATATAATATAATATAAACTTTGTGTATTTATTTATTTTTATTTTATATGTTGTTATTGGGGGGAAAAAAAGACAAAACAATTTGAGGAATATTTACACCTGAGAGCACCTCAAAACTAACAACAAATCTGAGAATCTATTATAGACTACCAAAACACATCCTGAAATGGTGCAGAGGAAGGACGGGAGCATCAGGAAGCAGCACACACCCGCCCCCCTTACATCTCCTCCTCAAGTCAACAACAATCCGATGGGTTGAACCTTTACCATGCCAAGAACTTCCTTATGCTTCTCCACCCATCCTGGTTCTTTGGGTAATAAGAGGAAGCCATTGACCTCCAATTTCTTTTTATCTGAGTTCAGAACATTCAGCTTGTCAATCACTTCATGCATCAAGGGGCTATTTATTTATATATGTCTGGAATAAATATAGTTTAGTCCACGTCTATTCTATGGGAAGTTTTCCGTCAGACTCGGGAACATACCATTCTGTTCTCAAATAATACTTATCTGCCTTCCATCCCCACAGGGAAGAAGTTGGTATTCAGTACACTCAGAATAATAACAAACAAAATCACCTAAAAAAGCAATACGCTCCATATAAAATACATGGGAGAGTTGGAGGGTCAAAACCGGTGGCTGTGCACAAATGGTAAAAAGAAAAAAAGAGATCTTTAGTCGTCTAAGAACTTTCTCTGAAACACTGCCAAATACTCATTCCTCTTGCTTCCACCATTAGATATGAAAGGTTACGCAATGCTAGAGCTTACCCTGTTATCCTGACAGAGTGCGTTGCATGTTTGCGAGACTGTGACGGTTTGTGGTAATTGACATCTGTATGTCGGTAAATTCCACTCTTGTACACAAAGAAATCCTCATGGACCTCCATGATGGCTAAAAAGGGAAAAACAAATATAACATCCATTATGCATCTTTAAGTACACCATTTGAAATACAAGACAAATTACAGTAGTACAGCAATTAAATATAGAAGTCTTGAATTTATGTCCAAAAATAATTGATCTCCATCGTTTAATCAAGTTGATCTTTGACCTTCAGACATCATTGAATCAAAAGCTGATCCTTCATTCTTATCACTCACAGTCATACTACAGGAAATACTATGGCTGCTTTAAAAGCTCAATTACGTAATATACCACAAGCTCACACAAACATCTTGCAGATCAAAGTGAGATCAAAGTGACCGCTACTAATTGTATCACAGTTCAAATAAGCTCAAATCCACATGGCATAAAGACCCATTGCTTAAATTCACAGGACAAAACTTTCGTGGGTGGTGTTCCCGCAGCAACCCTCCCGAGTACAGCCATGGTGGCATGTGAAGAAAAGTCAGTCGGGTTCAACATTCTGGAAAACACTGCATTATAGGAATTACCTGCACCCTTTCACACACTTTGGGTTTTTCCAGACATTACTAGGAGATCCTAAGCAGTAAACAGAGTCTAATGAACACACACACTCCTGCACATGAAGACTATATTTTCATCTCCTGTTTCTCAATATAAGCCAGAGGTTAGGCAGAATTTTTGCAAAGATTAGAAGTGAAATCTGGCGTAAATCCAGTGCTCCCTCCTGTCTGGAACAATACAACAGAACACTGGCACAGGATCACGGAGCGGAGCTGCTCAGAACAACGCACAAACACACACCTTCATCATATCACTGCAGGGGACTTTTCTCAAGAATTCACTGCGCATATACTGTATGATGGGTTTAGGCTTTTTGTCCAAACTAAATGCTGTATGGGCGTCTACAACCTCCATGGTGACCAATACGACATAGGCTGATCGTTGCTGACTGCATTAACAGTCATTAGGCATGTGCTTTTTACTATTCTTATCCTCTGGCTCACAGTATTGTGCAAACACACACACACACACACCAACTGGAGAAATCCATACCTTGCACGGGGCCATTATCCATAATCTCTTTCATAATCTCATTCTCCTGTGAGTGGAAAAGCAACATTTCAGTTAACAGCATACTCCAGCCTAATGCTATTTTTACACTGCAAATTCTGCATATATATTGCACCATGAAAAGAAATATGCATTTATAATGAAATTACTGAAATAATGATTGTTTTATATACAGTATGAGCAGTCTTAAGCTGCATGGGTAAAAACATTTTTGTACACATAATAAAACACTCATGCTTCCATATACAGTATTACCACACTGAATTGTTTAATTGTTCATCGCATTCCTTATTCACATCTGTGAAGGATATATGATCTAAAACATGCCTAGAGACATATATATGACCTAGACTATGCATTAAACAAGACAAATGGGTGGTAAGATATGGCTCAGGGAGAAAATACATTCAACCATGACATGACTACTAATGTAATGCCTCTCCAGACGGTTGAGAGTTATTCCTCCCTTTGGCTTTGAGTTGAAGGGTTTTGACTTATGAAGAAATTGAACACAGAAAAGCACACAGATGCTGGGTGTGAGGAGAAAAAAAACAGTAAATCACTGATGCTTTAACCATTGGTATTATGTGGGCAGAGGTCTGCATGTTTTACAGAGAATGTCATTCTAACATGTCAGAACATACATAAACATAAAAGGACGCCTGATTATACATGAATCTTGCTTTCCACTAAAACATCCTTTAAACGAGCTAAAGTTACTTGATGTAAGGTAATAAGACTTATTGTAAATTCTGCTTGACTTATTCGATTTTCTGCTTGATTCGAGGGGTCAGCTGACTTACATTGGAGGACAATCTGTATGGTGGGGTTGACTGGTAGATATCATTGTGGTAGCTGTGGCTGTTGGGACAGTGCGCTGTGGCCTGCCTCTTTCCCCGGCCCACCGCTCGACTTTGCATCATACAGCGAGCCACTTCAGCAGGACTTTGCTGGGGCGGAGAGAAAGGGTAACACTCCTCTGTCACAACCCTGAGAGAAAAAGACAGATATTTAAATAAAAAGACTGTATTTTTTGTCAGATGTGCACCATTTAAAGATCTTCACATCTTTGATGTTGTGTGTAAAACATAAGTGAATTACCCTTTTCTCCTTAGGTACCACCAGGCCCCATCAATACGCCCACCGGAGCAGCCGCCCTGATGACGTGTGTCACAGGAAATCAGATTCTGAGGTGACAGCTGAGGGGTCATGTGACCCATCGACTGAATAGAGATCCGGTCTGATGCAACAGCTAGAAGTGAGTCACAGGGTTCACATATGAGCGACAGGACAGAGGACTTGCATTATATAACATACAAACAGTACTGTGTTCTGCAGTGTTCTTCTGCTGTGGTCTGTGTCGTGTCTTTTCTGACTCACCTGCTGTTGAAAAAGCCCAGGATGCATTGCAGTTCCCCTGGTCGAAGGGCTCGTGGATTTTCCCTGGCCATTTGTCTACTGCGTTAAAGTAACTTGGCAGATGATCATTTCCATTCATATTCATCTGCAGAACATAAAGCAAGATTTAATTTTTTTTCTTCAAAGAAGTGACTTTTATGGCTTAATGGTGGTGTTTGGCATTGAAGACATGAATAACACAGAATAAAGATTTCCATAAATGCATCCATGGTGTGATTATGAGTGATTTTGGTGGCATAATACAATCATTTCCATATGTATTATTTTTCACAGGACCAGTGGATGAATGAGAGGCAGTCTCCAAAGTCCAAAACACTGTATAAAGCCTTAGTGTGGTTATATAATGGTGATTTGTTAATTTTGTGGATTTTCAGAAGTATTCCAGTGGAAAATCCAGAAATCTTGAGTTTCCAACTTTTTACGTGTTCCATCAATAATAATAAAAAAAAAGTCTAAGTAAAATCCAAACATCAAAATAATCTAATTTATCAGTTTAATGGTCCACTTTACATCTGGTATTTAATATATAATATGTAATTAATATATTACATTTTTTTCAGCTCCAGTCTTTAGTGTCACATGATCCTTGAGAAATAATTATAATATGATGATTTTGTGCTCAATAAAACATTTATTATTATTATCAATGTTGTTAATAGTTGATAATAGTATATAATATTTTTGTGGAAACTATAATGCTTCCAAACAGAAAAGTTAATCAAACACAACACAGAGGGATACAGAAAACAAAAATATTTTTTCAAGATTGAAAAAATGAAACTGTACAACTGTTCACTTGATAAAAAAAAGGAAAAATAAACCTCTGCAATTTCATAGAAAACAAATAAAGTGTACAGTTTTTTTTTTTTTTTTTGCATCTTGAAATAAATATTCTGAGTTCTGTATCTCTCTGTGTTGTGTTTGTTTATTTTTTCTGTTAGGAAGATAACTGAGCCTTTACATCTCCTTTGTAATAGATATGCTTATATGCTTATATAGATGTTCCTAGGAGTCAATAACAGTGTTTAAAAGTCTTGAAACTGTGACTATTTCCTCAGAATGACTTGTTCTATGTATGTAAAAAGTTTTGAACTGTTTGGAAGCTGCATTTTAATAATACATCACAATTACTCTGTAATTTTTTCCTGTTATTTTAACAAATCACCACAGCAAAACCGTTCATGCTATCCAAAATCCATCCTCAATATAAGTTCCTCAATGTTTTGGCATCATGTAGAAAAAGTTTGGTGTGTATAGCGTAATTTTCCTCTGAGGAGTATTCATTAATTCACAGCTATATTTTCCCCAAAATCCATATTCAAATCAATATAGCTGACTTCCTTTTGGTCGTAGCAAATGACTGTAAATTAGAAAGTTGTCCGGCTTGATGAGATCAATATAGGTACCAAGTTTGGTGACTGTAGCTAAAACTAACCACCCAAGTTTTGTCAAAAGGTGGCGCTATAGAGTGCCTCTTCCACGCCCTTTTATGAGCTTTTCGCAGTGTCTATCTATAATTATTACTGACATGTGTGTTGCGTTTCAAGAAATTCTAAGCATGTTATCTGCACGAAAATCACCGGAAAAGAATATTCAAGTTTGACACGTTGCCAAGGCAACAATATTATAGATATCAATATCCTCTCACCAGTTTTACATCGACCGTGTTTTGACATTATTCTGAAGAAGTTTGAAGCAAATCGGGTAAAAAGAAGATGATGAATTAAAAGCATTTTGAAAATGACACACTTCCGCCCGTCAGTTGGTGGCGCTATGACTTTGACTCCTAATAGTCACATGTATGCGATCGGCATCATACACCGAAAAAAAAAACGGAAGTTTGATCAAAATCAGACAATGTATGTGTATATTATAAGACACTTCCTGTTTCTCATTTCTCGCCATAACTTCATCGCCTCGCCACGAGCAAACCGTTCGAGATATCAAAAATCTCTTCGCAATTTAGCGTCCCCCATGTCTTGAGATCATGTTCACCGAGTTTGGTGGCAATCGGTTGGAAATCCTCAGACAAGTATATCAAATTCCAGAGCATGTACTTTTTACACAGCCCTGAATAGCCAACTTCCTGTTGGGCGGAGCCTATGACATGCAGTGCAAAAGTTGTTCGGCTCAATGAGTTCTATATGTGTACTGAGTTTCATATGTATACGTGCAAGTATGTGCGAGCTATGCATCAAGTTTTCCGGCTGTGTTCCAGGGGGCGCCGTAGAGCCCCTCTACCACGCCCAGGTCCCAGCCTCTGCGGCGTCCTAATGGCCGCAGGTTCCAACGCGTGCAAATTTTCAAGAGTTTTTGAATATGTTTAGGCCCCCAAAAAGCCCCGGAAGGTTGAAAAAAAATAAAAAATAAAAAAGAATCCTTAGGGGATCAATAGGGCCCTGCACCTTTCTGGCTTGGGCCCTAATAATAACAGCAACCTTTTTGTATCGACACAGAATTTATTTGTAGTTAAACAGACATTTCTTGTAACACTATAAATATCTTCACTGTTACTTTTGATCTATTTAATGCATCCTTAGTGTATAAAAATATCAATTTATTAAAAAGAACTTACTGAACCCAAACATTTGACCAGTTACGATCCTGATGACTACTTATGATCATATTTCATTGAATTGAGGGTCCTGTTTACACCCGTAATTAGCCTTCCTCTTATGATTGGAATAACTAAAATTGGTTAATTGTTAATACCAGGTATGAACATATAACCCTAAACCTAACCTTAACAGGGTCACATTCATGCTTGGTCTACATCTAAATCTATAGCTCTCCCCAGACCACTTTCAGTCATATTTCACACCCTAAAGTTTCATAAGTCCTGAATAAGGAATGTATTAGCACTTTCTCTCATAAAGGCTTCTGTGCGCCCCTCTCTCTTTGGCAATGCACAGCTGCTGGTTGTCGTCCTCCTACATTCCAGTCTGTGATATTGTCATGATTCTCCCAAACAACTACCAGTTATGATCCTGTGGAATGCAGGTGCTTGTCACTGCAGTGGTGAATTGTGGTGGTTAAAGGGCCCCTGAAGGGCCACGGCTCGCAGCAACACTTGACCCAACAGGAAAAGTGAGCACTCACGCTGAGCAAAGACAAGAGAATACTCCAATGAGAAAGTAAAGAGTGTGTGAGAGTGTGTGAGGCACTCAGCCCACTCATTAGTGTGCATGCCGAGTGGGTTTTAGACAGATACAGGCTTCATAAACGAGTCGGGTGGAGACGTGTTGGAGGATGTGGGTTGGAGAGGAAAGAGAAAAGAGGAAGGGGAGGAAGATACGGGTATGGGTTCCTATCTAGTGAGGGTACATTTTGAGACTATAAATGAATTGCACCAATTAACAGTATCAAACCATTTCCAGCCTTCTCAAATTGCGGAATCAGCTCTTATGTAACGTGTTGGTGTGGATCACTGGCAGCTTTTTGCAGAGAGACACTGAAAGCCTCAGCGAGCCACATCAAATAGCACACTTCCAGACAGACACATCTAGGATGCATTCACTGCACTGCACTGCACTGCAAGCAGCTGATGAATAGATCAAACTGCAGTCTGATTTCCGAATCCGGCCTCTTATTCTTGCTTTGATGATTTCTAATGGCATACTGCATTGCACAGAGCGTGAGAGCGGATAATCAAAGAGCCGTCAATGGGCATAAAAATGAGATGAATAACTTGATTCTGACTGGTCAGTCGTGGCATTCTGGGAAAGCTGGGAAATGTCTCAAGCACATGATCTCTTTATGCTTACATTCAAGTCAAATCAATGTTTTATGTTCATTTATTTATTTAGAAAATGGCTGTGAAATAAACAAACATTAAACACAGCAAATTGTTTTCTTAAGCAGTACTTTTTTTTATCTTGTTTTCCAGTAAAAATATCTACGTATCCTTAAAAAATGGCAAATTTCCTTTTTGTATAAAATAAGGAGACTTGATTTCAGAGATTCCAATTCTCACTATTACCTAGTTGCTTATTAGCATGCCTATTATTAACATATTGGCTGTTTATTCATACTTATAAAGCACATATTCTGCATGACCATATTCTACATCCCTAATCCTATCCAATACCTAAACTTAACAAGCAGCAAATTAGTAGGTTTTGGAGGCAAAAGTCATAGTTAATGGTGTGTTAAAAGCGAGAATTTAATCTAAAAATAAAGTGTGATCCTTTAAGTTTATTTTTAATATCTAGCTGAATGTTTGGGGTCAATACGATTTTTGAAAGAAAGAAATACTCAGCAAGAGCACATTAAAATAATCAAAAATGACCGTAAAGACATTTATGATGTTACAAAATGAATCATGTATCACATATGGCATAAAATGTATCATGTTTTCCAAATATTTTAAACATTAATAATAAGATTCTTGATTCATTAATAATATGTTTCTTGAGTGTCAAATCATATTTCACAATATTACTGTTTTACTGTATTTTTGATCAAATAAATAGAGCAATAGAGACTAACATCATTGCATAACAAAACTAACATCACAAAATGTCAGTATGTACACAGTAGTAAACCTATGTGAAAACTGATTATTATATATTTTTAGTGGAAAACAAGACCAAGTAAACCCTTTCAGGATAATGTGATGTTCCGCTTTGCATCTGGGTCCTGTAATAATGAACATCTGACTAGCTGTAGAAGACTCTTACCTGGATCTCATTCATGTTCATAATGGTCCGTGAGGGGCGTTGTGTGCCCAGACGATACTGCAGACCTTCGTCCAGTGTCATACCCCAGAACTGACTGTAGTTTGAGGCCCTCCAACTGTATGGGTAACAAGAGAAAGAGAGTTAGCAGGAAAGAGGAATACACTTTTATTTGTGCACTTGTTTATATATATTTAATACTAGTAACGGCAGACTAGATGGGATTCCTGATGCTTACCCATAACCTCTCCTGTTGATTTCCTGGATCATGTCATCCTCTATCAGACAGGCATGATGCTCACATTCCCAGCGCCCATTTTGACCACATGTGCTGCGGGAGACGAATAAAAACTGTTATTGAACACATCCAGAAAATTTACAATCTATACAAATAAAGTACAAAATAAGGCCTTAGCAAATACAGGAAAAAATTGTCAGTGAAAGGAAGCCATCTTCACAAATATTGCTTGTCAACCTCAGGATAAAAAAGTATATATTATATAAATTTCTGGTTATTTGATATGAGGTCTGCTGTTTTTTATATTTAAATAAGAATCTTTAAAACTGTCAGCCCCCCGGCCCGCCGCTCTCTCCTACTCTCTTCTACAACGACGCACA